CCAATACTCAGCCGATGACATCGACTTCAAACTCATTCGCATGGCGTCAGAGGTTCTTCCAGCGGTCATCCGGCATGATACGACGATGCTACAGAGCTTCATGGCTGATGATACCTTGAGCGAGTGGTATCAGAACAGCCTGGTATGCGCGCCCGCCCAGGGGCCGCTGGGCGCGATCATTGCCCAGCTCGCCCATCGCTATCGTCAGCTCCAAGTGTTGGAGATTGGAGCAGGTACAGGCTGTGCTACACGCTCGGTCTTGCCCGCTCTGGGCGATGCTCTCGCACGCTACACGTTCACCGACGTGTCGGCGGGTTTCTTCGACAAGGCGGCGCAGCAGTTTGCCCCCTTCGCCGACCGGATGGAGTTCCAAACCTTTGATCTCGACGTGGATCCCATGGAGCAAGGATTCAAGGAAGGCAGCTATGATGTGGTTGTCGCCTATGCGGTGCTGCATGTGGCGGCCTCGCTGAAGGATGCCCTGCGCCGGGTCCGGCGGCTGCTCAAACCGGGCGGATTCCTGATCCTGACAGAGGTGCTGGGAGATGGGCCCATGGCGCTGGGGCTAATCTTCGGAGGCTTCACAGGCTGGTGGGCTGGTCGCGAGGAAGGGCGTCGCTACTCGCCGACTGTCTCGTTGGAAACTTGGCAGGAGCTGCTGGCAGCCACCGGGTTCTCTGGCGTCGATACGCACACTCCGCTGAAAGATCCCATTGCTTGGCCTATTAGTGTCATGGTCGCGCAAGCGGTGGACGAACAAGTTAGCTTGTTGCCAGAGCCGGTCTTGGAGGAGTTAGTCATCGTCGCTGAGCCCAGCTTCCCCCAGCCCGAAATTTTACAGGGAGTGCAGACGCAGTTGGCAGCCCATACACATAACCTTACGCTCTTCCATTCCTTGGAGGAGCTCAATGGCGCTTCCTTTCCCAACAAACCAACAGTGCTCAACCTGGCTCATCTGGACCCAGAGAGCGTAAGGCCATCAGAAGAGGCCTGGCAAGGGCTGCAGACTCTTGTAGACTCCGCTCGACATATGCTGTGGATCACTGATGACTACCGCGCTGGTAATTCTTCATCTGCTCTGTCGGTTGGTTTGGCACGGTCTCTGGCTCATGAATTGCCTCATTTGCGCCTACAAATGATCGATATCAGCCGCGAGACTGACCCTGATACGATCGTTCGAGTCATCACTAAGAGCCTGCTGCGCCTGGTCAGCACGAGTGATCCTGACGCACTTCCCACCTTCGAGCCGGAGCTGGCACTGGATTCGACCGGCCAGCTACTGGTACCACGATTGCACCCCTTGGAGCCGGCCAACAACCGCCTCAACAGCTCAAGGAGGAAGATCTCGGCTCCCATTCATGTGGAAAGACAAGCGTGTTCGTTGGAATGGCACAAGGATATGTTCACTTTGGTCGACAAGAGTCCCTTCCATTCGGATGAGGGTATTGACTCTCGCGTCGTACGCACGACCCGCTCAGCGTTGACAGCCCTGCCGACCCGTGATGGACCCGTCTTCCTGCATCAGGGAGTTGACTCTGTCACCGGCGAGACCGTGGTGCTGGCCTCCAACGAGATCTCGTCAATCTTGACCGCACCGAAACTGTCATCGATCGTTGTGAGCCCCGAGATAAGCCGTCACTCCCAATACTTTGGCCTTCTGGCCGCCCACCTTCTCATCGCGTCTGTCGTGAAGGACATCGCGCCTGGAACTAGCGTTCTGCTCTATGCCTTTGATCCTCCAGCGGCCATGTATCAAGCCATCTGGACCTTCCAACTCCAAGCGAAGAAACGCCAGGTTCATTACTTCACAGGCAGTAAAGAATTGGCCGCTATGGGGCCGTGGGTGTACTGCAATCCGCGGGCTCCCAGACGAGTTTTGAACGCCGCTTTTCCCAAAGACCTTCACGCCATCATCAATCTCTCGGGCAACAATGGGGCTCCGACACAGACACTGGACTCTCTCCCAGGGCATTTTCAACGATATAGTCCTCCATCTGGGGTCGCCGAAGCATCCTTTCTGCCAGCTCTTCCGCCACTAACCGACTTGACTGAGCTGCTCAGTGATGCTCATACGGCTGCAGAAGAGTACATCGTGCTGAACGTGAGCGCGCACCAGCCGGAGTACGAGCTACCAGATCTCCTAGCCTGTCAACCTGGGTCACTGCCAGGGGTTTCCGTTGTCAACTGGTCCTGCCCGACCCCCCTGCCCGTCCACTATCAGCTCATCGATGCGTCCACGCAGATCTTGCGTCCGGATCGAACCTATTGGCTTGTTGGCTTGACCGGTGATCTCGGCCAGTCGCTGTGCGACTGGATGGTTCACCATGGCGCTCGAACGATTATTTTAACGAGCCGACGCCCACAAATGTCGCCAGACTGGGTCGAATCTCATCACCAAATTCACGGAGCCAAAATAATCTCAATAGCAGGGTATTGCACTTTCCTTCGCCCCCTTTCATCCCTCCACCTACCCAGGGAACACAAGTTAAACAAGCAGAAGAAGAGCCAGACTGACCACAATTCACACAGAGATATTACTTCCCTACCCAGCCTCCACGCAATCTACAAAACTATCACAACAACCTACCCCACGCTAGACGGCATCGCCAACGGCGCCATGCTCATGCGTGAAAATTTCTTCACGCAAACCACCGCAGCCGAACTACACGAAGTCCTGCAACCCAAAGTCCAAGGCCTCCGGTATCTCGACAACCTGGTCGGCGACCAACCCCTCCGATTCTTTATCGCCTTCTCTTCCATCCTCGCCACGCTAGGCAACCTAGGTCAGAGCGCCTACACTGCAGCAAACGTTGCCTCGGAAGCGCTCATCACTCAGCGGCGGCGACGCCATCTGACAGGTTCCGTGATCCAGATCTCCCGTATGACGGACGTCGGGTACGTAAAGCGGCAGCGGGCACAGTACTCGGCACAGGAAATGGCGCGGCTGGAGGCGTATTGTCTGCCGATGGGGGAGCAGCACCTGCATGCCTTGTTCGCGGAGGGAATTCGAGCAGGGCGACCTTCACAAGCATCATCTGCATCTGATGTAGCCCAGGGGTCAGTGATTACAGCCGGAATTCCCCGGGTCAATATGAACGATCTAGAGGATTCAGTGAGGCGAGGCGTGACGTGGGCGACTAACGTCCGCTTTTCGCACTACTGGAAACAGGAAAACTGCTTGCGTCGTGAGTATGGTGGCATGCGGGATGGTGAGGAGGGCAAGAAGGCTGCTTCGACGCGAGAGCGGCTGGCACAGTCTAAGTCAAAGGAGGAAGCCCAGATGATTATATTAGGTGAGTTGACTATGAACCCCTCTTCTTGACCGGCACCCTAACTGAAACTCTTACTCTTGCTTTTAGATGGTATCGTCTCCAAAGTGCGTTCCATTCTTCATCTCCCTGCTGATCAACCGGTTCTCGAAACCACGGCACTGGTGGATCTGGGCGTGGACTCGTTGATCGCGGTGGACATCCGAGCGTGGATTATGGGAGAGTTGGGGGTGGACGTGCCCGTGTTGAAGCTGTTGGTGGGGATTACCGTGGAGGAGATTGTTCGCGAGGCAACGGCAGGCCTGGGTGATGTCACGCAGGCAGACTGATGAAACAGCCGTGCATGTCCATCGGTACAACAGCGAATGGAGTTGTGGTTGTAGGTGTATTCCTTGGGTAGCACGAAACAATAGAAGGTCGGTCCTTTCGAAAATGAACGCGCTTGTATATCATCGGGTTGCCCGTAGGGGACATCTCTTTGCTTCTATCATTCATGTGAGCATCGTCATACAATATCATCACGTGTTGTATGCTACGAGTCTCAGAAAGAGGGCAATGCCTTGACCCCATAACCTAACAATTGCAATTTGGCTTTCATCTTGGGGCAGTTATTCGAAACCGGGGATGACCGGAGATAGAAATGAACTACTTTGTACCTACCTATCCCTACTACATTCTGGATATATATATTATATCTTACCTGGAATAATGCTACAAGCTGGTGTTACAACTCCATACCTCCTACTCAAAGTTAACCCAGTCAATGGAAATTCTGCTACCTAGATATTCTTGCTCGAGACCCATCAGGAAAAATACAAAGAAGCACTTCAAATATGAAAACTAGGTCAAACGGACAGTTCTGACAGTAGAAGGTCGTGGTTAGGGAACAAGTCGGGACCGTTCTCAAAATAAAGCATATTGGCTCTACGGTATAAAAGTATCTTTTATCCTGCTCACCTGATTACTGAGTCCACCCTCCCCATAAATTGACATGATAGTCTAATATTCTAATTCTTCGAGTGGTAAATTCTGAAACTTTACTGTTTGGTCTAATCGGAAGTCAGGAACGATAAGTTACTATTTTGTCGCATACATACACAGTAGATTGGGAGAAGCCCCTGTTCTATCTATATCGTTCGGAACTTATAGGGGAGGGGGGAGAAATCTTAGATATTTGTGGAACCGATGTGTTCCCGGCCACAGGGCAGGTCTTCCGCGACGCTTGTTTAATGAACGCTTCAGCCTAATCGTGACCAAGTTGAAACCTGCCCAATGCGCATCTCATCGCCCTCTCCACTTCATCCACTGTTCCGGCCGTTCCTTTCGCTCTGATTAGGGTCAGCCTCTCCAAGCTCTTAAGTTCCGCGTGTCCGACGGTCGCCTTTTGACATCTCCAGGACCTCAGATCATCACATTCTTTTCCCTGTAGGCCTGAACCCCAGTACTATGCGGACTATGCTTGCGGTTCTAGTTCCCTGTTTTGTCATTTCGGTTCTTTACTTGGCCGGCACGCGCCTCCGGCCCCAACGTGAAGTAAGCGAGATGCGTCGTGCGCCGGCAACAGCACCAGCGCCATCATCCGACATGCCGAGTAACTGGATTGACTGTTTTCTTAGATAATCCGATTGACGTTGATGCTCTTAGTGGCCTAGTTGTTGAAACGAGCGTTGATTTTTAATATTTTATTCCGCGCCGGTGATAGTATTGGTTTTGTTGCGCCATTTCTTCTGCCGGAGATAATGAACTAATTAGCAGCTAGTGAATCTGATCGAATTTGATGCGGTCGCTGTTGCAGCGAGCGATACAATTGAACCCGTTGCTAGCTTACTACCAAGCCCGGCCCTAGTTGAACAAATACTAGATGGCGAGGAACGAATTAATCTCTTAGTGTCGTATTGCTGAGAAGGTATAGGAGTACTATGAGTGCAAGATATGCTATTATAAGGTGGTAGATCTGGGCACTGATTTGTGGCCATACTTACTGCTCCGGATGCTTTAATAAGGTCTTTTACGACTCTGTTTTTGCGAAAGCAGGAGGAAGCCAAGAACTGGCGTCCGACTTTCTGGCAAGCCGTCAATGCGAGCCACTATTTAATTATTGCAAGGCGTTCTCTGGGCGTTAGATAACTAGCCAAATGTCCCCCAGCCTTGCTGGAAAAGTGTAGAAGGCTCAAGCCCAGCAAACTGCCCAAGTCCGGCCTCCGCGAAAGACAAGCTATACCAGTCATAGTCGCGTGATAGACTGACCTGATCGATGGGTGAGTCACTTCGTCCTAACTCATCTGGCGCCCCTAACCCATTCCCGTTCAAAGGAGCTGTAGACGAGCAGAGTCGGGCTTCAAGTTCTCCTGTACGTATCTCGGCTTCAGAGGGTTGCAGCTGCTTGCTTGAGATATCCTCGCTTTGATCATATCCGTCAGGCATTTCGGGAGGTTCGCAGTCACTAGATGATGCCACACGACGATCTATATTGGTATTAGTCTAGCCGAAAGAAACTTTCTGGATTGCACGAGCATTTTCATCAACATACCACCTCGTACAATCGTTGGTGTGGCGTGTCTCTTTAACTTGAAAGAGTCTGTCGACAATGCAGAATTAAAGGTTTCCCACTGGTGATCTTTTGAGTCAAAGTACGACATCAAACATGGGAAATTAGAACGAGATACAACTTACCGGACGTTCCAACGCTCTCCAATAGACTCGCAGATGATCTAATAAATGCACAATCGCTCTTACTGCGGGTAGTCTGGGACCATTTCGACAGTCTTTTGTGAATGATCCATTCACTCCACAGTCCTGGCGGGAAATTTCCGTTGCCAGAAGCACAATACCTGCGACAAAAGCACCAAAGCCAACAAGGGGAGGCAGACGTGAAATATCACTTCGACCATAGAGATAAGGCGCCAGTAGCCGTTCAAGCAGCTCTGCATGTTTTAGAACAGTATCTGCACTTTCTCTTTGCTTATCAGATCTAATTGTTAGGTCAGAAGGGATACCCGAAAGAAGGGGGACAATCATCCAATGGGCAGCGATTTGACATTGGTGGTAGAGCGCATCGTGGACAAATAATAGGCTTTCGCCTTCGGTTATTGGGTCATTCTGATGACCGGAATTTCTCAGGGTGGTTGACTCATCAAATAGCGATGTTGCCAAGTGAGATAACTTTTCGAGTTGGCCAGAATTTTGAGCATTTGGAGCAGAGGTATACTCTTTGCACAATTGTTGAATTTTCGCCCTGAAAAAACATCATTTCTGTTAAACCTATACAAGGATAGAAGACTTGCAGGTCAACATGTGTACTGACCATACACCAACCATTTTCATTAAGATGGCTGCACTCCCAGGGTAGCTGTCACTGCTTATCCGATGATCCAAGGATCTGGAATGCCAATTCTCATCCATTGTCTGATTTAAAGTTACTGTATAACCGGACGACGTTCTGGAGATCAGTCCCGGAAGCGGCACCAAGCCCACTTCCTGCCAGGCCAATTTGATATATGGTTCTGGTTCCATAACGATGCATGTAGATGTCCAGCAAGCCCAGAAGCATCGACGGGAAAGTTCAGATTCGAGCGACTCGTCAGAATAGTCGCTGTTGTCCGTAGACTTCCTGCTATATCCAAGCAGATGACATGAACGATAGGCGAGGGCTGTGAACCTGTCAACACAAGTTCTCCGGGCGTCCATAGGCATGCTTTTGACCAATGAAAGACAGAAGAACTTACCAAGGCATAAACTCCCAGAATGAAAGTCACCAATGCCAAACCAATACAGCTGCAGACACTCCAACGCTTGGACGACCATCAGAGATGGACACTCTAAGGCTGAGATCAAAAGTTCTCTTAAAGCAGCTTTCGCCCATGGGCGACCGCAAGCATGATATGAGCTCAAAAGTTTTAATTCTGCTTGCCCTTCTCTTGCAGGTATTATGTCATTCGAATAATTCCTCGGCTGAAGAAATCTTGGGCATCGTGTTAGCTGAGTTGAACGTGGAGAAGCGCTAGAGTCTTAAAGTGGCATACAGAGTTGCTAGCGCGAGTAAAGCTCTAAGAAGAGAGCGATGGAGTCTTCCTTCCAGATAATTCTGAAAAAGAGTGGGTTTATGAAACAATAGAGGTGCGTTATATACGCGCGTAAAGTATACCTCCAGCAAAGAAAGACACAGGGCGGGTGGTGGTAATTGTGTCTGGTCTGAGGAACGTCCTGGCTCCGATGCGACAGGCGTCATCGTACGTAGCTGCCGTGGGTATGTCTACGGACCAATTAGCTATTGGATAACAGCCCTGGTGCAGCTCAGATCAGTACGTACATTAGACGGAGTACGTGTTCCTATACCTAGAGCCGCCGATGTGTCATCCAATCCAGTGGAGCTAGGGAGAAGTGGATCGTCTTCACGACGACCATTAGGACCAAGGGAACTCGAAGCATGATGTCCATGGATCGGACTGAGTTTCTGAGTCTCAGCAGCAGAAGTTTGTTGCGAAAATGCTTCGTTGCGCCGGCGTTGAGTCCCCAGGCGCCGAGTGAGAAAGGGTGCCCCCCGATTGTTTTCATGCAGCAGCCTGGCCGCCCGTGGACCCCGTGGACCCCGGCGATTTGGAGGCCGCGGATAGTTACATGCCGCACTGAGTCGCTCGCATCGAGTGCACGTGGGACGTTCGCGACCACACTTTAGCTGGGAGTCATTCGACGTTAAGTGAAGTGGTTCTGGCATCGGACGGACATGTAGTCACCTTCTGTTTCCGGCACCGCAAACATGCAGTGATAGACGAGTGCGACAAGGTTCTGGTATTTTCATTATTTTCATCTCCGCTCGCTTGAATTTGAGTACTGTCCATGATCTCTAGCTTCGCATGAAAATGTAGATTGCATATATGTACGTACGTTCTCGCGGGTTATGTCTCATTTGCTCGACGGAAATCCCAAGGTTCCTCTTACCGCCTGCTGTTTTCTCTGCACCTACCTTTTGCTTCAACATCACGTTGTTTTCGGTGTGCGATCGAAACAGCAACTTACAGAATTGAACCGCGCGGATCTTGCATGACGTTGTATCTCTTGCTATGAATTGAGTCTCTGGGAATGTCTTCATTGCTACCTGTGGAGGGCGGGGTAGTCAATTTGAGCGCCATCTGGTGTGTCTCATGGCGGATTGGCCAAATTCAATTCGGGCCGAATCCCATGTACAGTGGGTATTTGGAGCACCTTCGGAGGGGAGCGTCCGCACTTTGAACCGTCCACCTTATTTGGTATATGGCCTCTACATTCACCTTTATTTACATTCAAACTCATAGCTAGGTAGGTGTTCAGAGATGACTAGCTCACTAGAGGCCATAGAAAGATAGACTTATTAGTAGTATAGCTCAGTATGGGAGTCATTCTTCATTCCTCTTCAAATCATCGAAGAAAGGAAGAAGTACCCAAGAAGGGTATAAGATCCAAAGTTGGTCCGAGTCGGTCCGAATAGGTATGTGTCAGCAAAAGTTAATTCAGTAAACTAACTAACCTAGTTCACATACTCCGGCAGGGCGAAGAACTAAAACCAGCCCGCGGATGGCGTGACAGAAAGGAATGTCCTCGGTCTGCAATCATGTGGTCGCGACTGACAATAAATACCATTCGCCTTTCCTGTATTTCCTGGCTGAGGAGAACTTCTTCCACACTTCTATCCCTGGAAGTCTCCAAACATGCCACCCATGCTTATCAATCATTTTTTCAAGTCCAACGAGTCCTTTAGCTATGAAGCGCTTCGAGCTGCCGGCTATAGCAACTATGGTGGGGCAGACCTCGGCGAAGTGATAGCTCTCTGTTCTAAAATCAGGCCCGGGAACGAAGATGACTGGCTTCGCGAATGGCAAGGCGCTGCAGAACGGGCATTGTCTAATGCTGAGGTCTCGAAGTCCGTGCAGAACAAAGAAAGTGCCTACCATGGATACCTCCGTGCATCGAATTATTTCCGCACCGCTGAGTTCTTCCGTCGAGAAAATGTGGACGAAGACAAAATCTCTCAGTCATTGTATGAAAGATCAGAGACTGCTTTCGTCGAGGCGATGGGGCTGTCTACGTTTTCCTACGAGTCGATCAGCATCCCCTACGAAGGCACATCATTACCAGGGTATTTTGTTAGTCCTGACAGCTCCAAGAAACCACGACGGACAATCATCTTCAACGGCGGTTTTGACTCGACCATGAGTGAAGGGTGGTTTGCGATTGGAGCGGCGGCTATAGCAAGAGGTTATAACTTCCTTGCCTTCGACGGGCCTGGGCAGGGTGCGGCTATCCGGCGACAGCACCTACACTTTCGGCCCGACTGGGAGAACGTTCTCACCCCTGTTGTCGACTATGCTGTGAGTCGCATGGACATTGATGCAGATGCAATAGTCATCTTTGGCTGGAGCATGGGTGGGTACCTAGTGGCGCGAGGAGCTACGCAGGAGCATCGGGCCCGAGCCATCATCCTGGATGACGGCGTGTACGATTTTGGTTCTGCATTTCGGGCCCAACAGCCGTCCTTTATTCAAAAGCTTGTTGAACTCAGATACGATTCTATTGTCAACCCAATATTCCACTGTGTTCAATACCTCTCGACGGGGATCCGGTGGGCTCTGCGCAACGGGAAGTGGACTTTTGGCGTGGCATCCCCGGCAGAGCTGAGTCGTGCAGTCAACAGATACACTTTGGAGGGGATCAGTCAACATATTGCCACACCGTGTCTGATACTCGACGCAGAAAATGATCATTTCCTGAGAGGCCAGCCAGAGGAGCTTCGGAAAAATCTGAGCTGTGAGCACAAATTTGTCAGTCTACGAACAGACGAAGGGGGAGACGCACATTGTCACCAAGGATCCTTCTTTCGATTGCATCAAGTTGTTTTCGATTTCCTAGAATCGCAGCTTAGTCCAGCTAAAGGGCTGTGATTATTTGTAAAAATGTGGTGTTTTAGTTTCGCTGCTTTTCTATATTATACTCAAATGTACCTTGGCCTTGGCCTGCCCTTATCAATCGCTCTAGTAAGACCTTATGCGTCTGTAATCACGGAACCCAATGATCGAATTAGCGAATGGTCACGCCCTATTGGCTTCTAACACCCTTTCCGCATTGGTGGAATTAACTGGAGTATGTTATTCTGACGCTAAATTGATCATTTCCTAGTCAGGAGGAGGCATTCGGGCTATTCGGGCCATTCGGTGTTGGTAGTACCCCAGAATAGGTCGGTTAGCAGAGGTTGCACCTATCTCCAACCACAGCTAATAGATGGTTCAGTTATTTATCCATTATTCCAAATACCCCTTCGATTCATAGCCTGAATACTAATGTGGTTATTTTTGTAAAGACAAAAATTATATCTCGTGGAAGACATGTCTTTCAGTCAAGCCATCCGCATCTATTCCCGGGAAACAGACTCTCTGATGTGATATCACACACCCTCCAGCCCTGCGCTTTCAGGACCCCTGTACGCTCTCCCTAGTTCCCCTTTTGCTTTGCAACCATCTTCTTTTGCGTACTGCCTAGATGCCGTCCTCTTCCGACGTGGCCCGTGTCAGATGACCTCTTCGTGCATGTCTGCGCTACACACTACCGCTATCATACTGCACACCAGTGTGGATAAACTTACTTTGATGTGTAGGGTAAATATTCTCATGCACCTACCCATAGACAGTTTGGTAGAGATAAGAGGGCCATAAGTTCTTCAGTCGGTCCCATTAAGATAGAATGCCATATATGCTGTGAACCCTCTTCATTCTCAGGCTCTTTTAGCACAATGTGAAGTACCGTCCACCGATATTTCAAAATTTAGGCAGCACGTATCTCCGGAACCCACTGAAGTTGGCCAGTACTGCAGACAAAATGTGTATGCTGTTTTACTACTAAATACTGATTGGCACAGATCGTGATATACTAGATTCAGTGTCAAGTGACCTAGTCAAGTACTGCTTGGGCCTGGGAGATATAGAACTGAAGCTTAGACACCGAATCACAAGGGTATCGGTGGCCATCATGTCGTCTCTCGAATTGCAGATCCCATCGCCTCGCCTAAGGGGCTTAGTACTGTCTGAAAGGGTAGAGCGTGGGATAGCAACCACTAGTCATGGGTCAAAGAACAATATAAATGATCTTAAGTGTGAGATGTAAGGGTGATATAGATTTTCGGACCCTATGTGGTCTTCCATTCATCTAAGGACGTGTTGCCAGCGTCACGTACTTTCTGGTATCCTGAGTACATCGGTTTATAGTTGTGCTTCTTCATGACTGATACTTTTGACTCTTGCACTTTGCGCGCCTCGCTTTACTAGTCAGCTGGGAGAGGGTGCTGGTGTGTGTGGGCTTCATCATGTACCTGCTTCCTTGCTTCGTTTGTCTTCTCGTACGCCCTCCGTCTATCCACCCTTGCTTCCTATGAAGGGCTCATTGCTCTGAGCTGAAGAGAGTATCCCTGCCGTTTGGGTCACCCAGGCCGCTTATGGGGGTGCGAATCTATATATTATTCTATTGGAGCGGCCTGCTTCCTACACCACATGTGATGCATCAGGGGTGGCAACTCATCGGATTTGCTGTGGTATCAAAACTTATACAGCAAGGCAAATACCTGATTCTGCAACTGACGTACTTATTTCCTTTCCAGAAAAAGAAAACTCATCTTGTGAGTATATTCTCGAGGCAGATAAGCATTAGACCCATTTAGGTCTCGTTGGAATGATCTCATGTATTTCACACTTACTTTCACTTTTGGAACCCTTAATGTTGTTGTCATTAAGCAGTCGGATCGTAGACGTCAGCTGCCTTGGCCACCTGGTTTGAGTAGGCTTTGAATGATTGGCAACCAACCTCCACCAGTTGGATGTTAATTGATCGTGGGAAGAATCTCAAATAGCATCAGCCACATGGCCGTCTCTTTGCGTGTCATCTCAGTGGTTATAACACTAAGCATTGGTCCTTGCAGTAGTACTACCAGTCCAAGTTAGTGTGTACCCTTGAGTGCTCACAAGGTGGTCAAAACCTCTTTGTGGAACCTTGATATCAAACTAACGATATTAGGTGGGACTATTATACATATAATAAACCAAAATCTGATTAGTCTTCGTATGAGATTACCAGATTATCTCCCCTTCCCTTCTCTTTCTCCCTCATCAGCACAGGTGTTCTCAACATGAGAAAGAACACGTTCACTAGCCAGCTTCCTTGCACGTTCTTTGTATCGATTGCGGGGAAGTTCAACTTTCAGATCCGTATGTGGAACGTTCCTCAGCCGCTACCAACAACGGCCTTCCCTCCGCCTGCTCCTCACCTTCACCTCTCCCCTCTGCTGCTACCGCCTTCCGTAGACCCAAGTACCCCAACACACCCTGCCCGACCGCAAAAATGACCTCATCGACGGTCATATACCCCATGAATATCCACCAATGCAAGAAGACTAACAGCCAGGGCTGGGGCGGAAGAGGATCATCGGGCGGCGGCGGCGGTTCGTACACTCGCTCCTGCTGCCCTGGAGGCAAGCGGAAAATCCAGAGGATGGCCGAGAGCGCGAAGATAGCAGCCTGAAAAAGGCGGGAGCGGGCAAGGAGGCGGTTAAGATCTGTGGGGGTGGTCGGTGATGGGGGATGAGACGGAGGAATCATTATGGCCTGTTCGCGTGGCTCCTGCTGATGCTGCCTCCTTGGTTGTCCTTGTTGTCGCTGTCGCTTCTGGCGCTGGGCTTGCTTATAGAAACCCAGAACAGGGAGAATCACCGTCGTGATGGGCAAGAGAAAGTAGCAGTGGATGCCGCGGAGGAAAGGGACTACGTCCCGCTCCGGCAGCAGGCAATCGTGCGGATGGCTCGGCGGGCAGAAGACGTCGGTGGTGAGGTCTAATATGAGCGGGACCAGAGTGAACAACATGAAGAAGGAATAGAGAGCGAGGATCAGGAGGATTCGCAGACGATGACGATGGGGTCGGGTCGGAGGGGAGTAGTAGAGACACAGCAAGAAGCTGGGGTTGTAGCATTTATAGACAGACAGTCAGCCAGATGGTAGGCATTACAGCGAGATGTGGTGGTGGGGCGGGTGGTTTGGACTTACAAGACGTTGGAAGAGACCCAGTCCCCTAATACTTGAGCGAGATTGGCCTAGTCCAAAGGGGAGACAGAGACCGGCGCTGAGGGCAATTTGGAGATATCCCAAAGATAGGCGGTGTCAAGGGATTGAAAAAAGACATGCTCGGTGATGCAGAGCACGTTAAAAAGCAGGTAGGCAGTGGATATCCCCCGGCTGTCTTTCGTCTTCCACACATGCTTGATCTGGGGGATGAAGGAGGCCCAGGTTAGGGCAAGGATGATCCTATTTCATGCTCTGTCAGCACCAGAATACACACCACAACAACGGAAAGGCATTGTGGCTAGAAATAGTCATACAAACTGAAAGGGAAAGCGAGAGTCAGCCTCATTGGATTGAAACATTTGGGGATGGGATCCTCAAAATGTATGGAATGCTGCGGGATGCTGTGGGCTGCAGAAGATGACAGAAGAAGTTGGAAAGACAGAATTACCATCCCATGGTTATATAAACAGCGCAAGAGGCATGCCACTATTTTAGCGACCCCTTAGCGTCTTGGAATTGAAAATGAGGAGAGAAAAATGTCTTATGAGTAGGTCACCTGCATACGCCATTTGGTGTGTTACATGTAAGTTACAAAGATACGAGGCACGTGACTACCACGGAGCAACCGGCTGATAAGAAACCAGCAACAACGCCATGAGGAAGTAGAGTAATATCTTTCTAGATATCGCAAGAGACGTTATTGGGCATTCCATACCATCTCAAACATCCATGATTAGCTACAAAGTCATTCATAGTAGATGGCCATGATGCTTACCGCCCGAGCGTGGGATGTAACGTAATGTATAGTACAGTACTAGACGGTACAATATAATGTCAGTCCATGATCACAATTTAATACATAGGGTTCGGTCAGGGCTACATGCCAGGTAAATTCAGACCTTAATCGTCTAGCATCAAGTGCAGAATTACCAGTCAAGTTCAGGTTGATAGCTGTCGAAAATTCGTTCCATTGGTTCACGTAGCGTTGGACTGTCCAATTCCTCGTCTCTATGCTTACCATTTCCCCAGCCTGGTTTATACTGTTAAACGCAGGGTAGACAATCACAATCTGATATCGAGCCAACTTACTATCTACCGCATTTCCAATCTCGAACGCATATAATGAGTTGCCCATGGTCTCGTAGGCAGCGTTTGCCTCGACTACACATTGATCAAGGCCGTTGCCAATCTTTCAATATGTCTCGTTTGCCGTATTGAAGAAATTGAGGCCTTGCGCAAACGTGTTAGCCTTTGGCTATCTATGGTGTCGTGACAACCATACCAGATATATATTGGGTGAAATATTTATTTCGCGGGTGACATTGGGCTTTGCTGATTGATCGGATACTGCAAGTGGAATAAGAGATGCAAAAGTGATGACGCTTGCAAGAAAAGGCACTATGGAGACATTTCTTGGTGCCACCTTTTCCAGTGAATCAAGCCGTCCAAAGCGTTCTTCGTTATGCTCTTGTAGCACAGAAACAGGCAAAAGTCCTAGAACTCCAATTTAGCCGAGCAGAATATATAGTTTGAAAAAGGCTGATCTTCTTTGTTCTTATTTGAGGAGAAATTCTTCCTTGTCCTTGATCTACAGCTTTGGACCAACAACCCTGCAGCTATCAGTTGTTTTGCCGCCGAAAACAGTACGGGCTGATTGAGAGCTTTGGCTGTCTTACATATATGCCTCACCTTCAAGTTGTTATTTTTCCCTTCCTGAGACAGAGAGACTCATTTGTTGGGTCATCGTTACACTTAGGAGAGAGCAATATCTCCATACAATGTCTACTTCTTGCCCCTGCACCAGAATTAACAATTAACTAACTATACATCATGTATGTCATTAGTAAGCTAGTGAGCGATGTGTGATCATATATGTAGTAGACCTTGCACACCTGTAGCATGTGTTTGAGTCATTGCGGTTTTGTAGGCGTGCATGAACCGGGCACCTTTAACCCGAGAATATATTAATTGTGATGCGTAAGTCCCTGCAGGTGAATGTCACCGTCCTCGCCAAGTCGGAACCAAATCTTTCGCGACCAGCGGAAAGCTCGTTCAACAAGTATCAGTCGCCCTATCTTATCCAGCCTGTTTGGCGGAACTATAGAGGCAACAATAAAGACGAAAGTTTTATGCTTCAAGGGAATAGAGGTTTCTTGTACTTTCACTACACACTGACTTCCGTTTTCTGGTTCCTAGGGGCACATGCCCCAGCCATGGTGATGGGCGATAATCACGATAGTCCCTTGCAGGTTGTTCAAAGGTTTCCGATCCAGTGCGAAGAGCAAATCATTTCATACGTAATATCATCGATATATTTCGCTTATTGATTATCCGATGGTTAATTATATTCATCACGAATGGCATTCTCAATCATCTGTCGGCAGCACCCAAGATACTGACATGGATCACAAAGAGACCTTAGCCTCTCCACTCCGACTTCAGCTACCAGACTACTATCCTGTTGAAGAACATCAATCAAGGGGAGATTTCCTTCAATCGCCTTCGTACAGGCCTCATAAACCACATCATGCGCCGTCTGGCGACCGAGTTTCGGTGCTGTTCCCATCATTACTGCCTCCGCAACAATCAGGCCCTTGGTCATGTTGAGATTGTTTGACATAGCTTCAGTGTTGACGAGAAGGCCTTTCATAATGAAATTTGCTTGGTGTAGCGCGCCACAGCATAGGACAAATGAATCCGGAACGCAGCTCCACTCCAGGTGCCAAGGGCCGGAAGCTCGTTCGAAATCGGACACCATAGCATCCAGAGCCAATGATGCGTTCGACCGAAGCAACTTCGAAGAGGCAAGTATAACTTCGCTTGATATAGGGTTTCGCTTCTGAGGCATGGTTGACGACGCTCCCCGAAATGGTACGAAGGGCTCAGCCACCTCGGCAACCTCGTTAGACGACATGATGATGATATCTAGAGCGATTTTCCCTAGAGATCCCCCAATGAGTGCTAGAAAGTTGATAATTTCTGCAATGTGATCCCGTGCCACATGCCATGTAATTGGTGGATCATGTAACCCGAGCTCCGTGGCAAGTTGTTTTCGCACCTTTAGACCTGTATCATCCGAACCGAGTGATGCCAATGTTCCTGCTGCGCCGCCGAACTGGACCAGCAAACATCGACGTTCTATTTCGGTCAATCGTTGGATATGCCGTTGGATACCAGAAAGATATACGGCGCATTTATAGCCAAAGGTGATTGGAAGAGCATGTTGGAGATGGGTCCTGCCTGCCATGGGTCTTGGAAGTGTCAGCACCTCTTTAACAGTGTTGCATTTCTAAGACGTACGTGTCGGCATATTTCTCCGAAAGAGACTTTAGAGTTGCATCCAACTCATGAAGGTTCTGACGGACGATAACAAGTCCTCTACGCATTTGCACCATGGAAGCGCAGTCCATGATATCTTGTGTTGTGGCACCCCAATGGATGTACTTGGCATGTTCCTCGGGCACCATCTCGGCCAATTGCCACACCAGCGGCAAGACAGGATACCCAACATTTTCGGTATCTGCGGCCATGCGGTCGAGGCTATTTTCATGGATGTTATTAGTCCATAGTTGTAGGGTTCGGAAAGGGGAATACATACTCTAGGTTTTCGTACTTGGCGTTCCCTGCGATAACATTGGCCGATTCGTATGGGATAACATTGACCTTTGCTTCAGCTCGTGCAAGAGCAATTTCAACTTCAACCAGGCACTTGATGTAAGCTTCATCTGAGAATATGTCGCGGATCTCTTCCGTTCCGAAAAGATTGCGGAAAATGCGGGAATCAACCGCACTGTTCAACATTGTTTGGGATGTGTATAGGTGATGCTGCTACGAAAAGAATTGAAGATATGCGCAGTGTGATGATTCTGGCTGGTGAATTTCCCTTTTAAATGAGAGCGATCGGAACAGTCGCTGGTATCCCGAGACTACGCTGGTATTATCCCGGAGCTTGGTACTATTCCGACGGGATAGGCCTTATCCCGAAACTAGTCTCCCGAGCCAGCCCTATTCCATCCCCGCAATTTCGGGCTAACCACGCGTCACTCTTCTTGGCTAACATGGGGTACCTACATACCCCCAGGCTCATTTACAATATCATCCGGGGAAGATTGTCTGGTTGTGGGGTAGCCCGCCAACTATAAATGCATTCAAAATGGACTGCATATATCGTCACCGTTATTTTTTTTTTTTCTTTTTTGACACCGATCCTGTGAACAACAGTGGTCATCAAGCATGGCACTCCATTGTCACGCACTGTCGCTTGCCCAGTTGATTCTGGTAGTATGCCCTGCCTTTATTCTCTTTGGCTACAATCACGCCGGCGTTGGCGGCCTCGTATCTGTGGAAGACTGGACCACAACCTTCCCTGAAATCGATACCATCCACACGTCAGGCGCAGTGAAAAGCCACAATTTAACAGTCCAAGGTGTTGTTATTTCGACATTTACCCTTGGTGCATTGGTTGGGTCTCTTTCATGCTCATTAGTTGGTGACGTCTTGGGAAGAAGAAAGGTCATATTTGCAGGCTCACTTGCAACGTTGATTGGGGAAGCCCTATGTTGTTCCTCTTTTGGGCTCGCTCAGTTGATTATGGGAAGGCTTATAATTGGAATCGGCATTGGAATGCTTAGTGGAACAGTACCTGTCTGGCAGTCCGAATGTTCATCGGCACATAATAGGGGCAAACATGTTGTTCTGGATGGCCTTTTCATCAGCGCCGGGTACGCAATAACGTCGTGGGTTAACCTGGGACTCTACCAAGTCAAAACCGGTTCAGTTGCCTGGAGAGTGCCACTGGCAATTCCGGGGTTGATTTCGCTTATCCCCATGTTTTCAATTTTCTTTCTCCCAGAATCTCCTCGATGGCTTGTTCAAAAGGGCCGCCTTGAGCAGGCTCGTGCAACACTCGTCAGTCTAAGCGTTGCATCAGTCCGGCCGGAGGACGTGAACGGCGATATCGCAGCAATCCAGTCAACACTAGAGAATAACTCTCGTGGTGTCTCAATAATGGATATTTGGCGCCCGAATGATGAAAAGGTTACTCTACCGCTTCGCTCTGTGCATCCTGCTCCAATTCTACCAGCAAATGTCGGGAGGTAAGTACCCATAGAAAACACGCCCTACGTGTATGCCTACAATAGCTGAGGTGACTTATTTTAGGAAACCTTATCTCAGTCTACGCTCCAGTTATTTTCGAAGATAACCTCCAAATGACCAGCATGATGTCTCGAATACTAGCTGCTGCGACGCTCTCGTGGAAGTTCTTCTCGTGTTTCGTGGCTTTTTACTGCATCGATCGGTTCGGTCGCCGCGTGGTGTTTATTATCAGCGGGTCGGGAATGTCGCTTTGTATGCTGGTCTTAGCAATCACCACGAGCTTTCCACATACAAACAAGCCCGCTTCCATTATTTCGGCGCTTTTCATTTTCTTGTTTAACTTTTTTATTCCCATCGGGTTTCTGGGTGCAAACTTTCTATACTGTACCGAGGTAGCGCCGCTCCGGCTGACAGTTGCTATGGCTTCGATCTCAACTGCAAATCATTGGCTTTGGTAAGCTTCCTTTCTTGCTGCAGACATTGTTATGCAAAGTGCCTGTGCTAATTTCTTAGGAACTTTGTGTTGTCACAATGATCACTCCTGTCGCAATCAACAATATTGGCTATCAGTATTATATAGTATATGCCGTGATCGGTGCATGTATCCCTATCTCGGTGTACTTCCTATATCCGGGTCCTGGGGTGGAAGCTGGAAGACTTGGATTTACTGTTCAAACAAGGGCTGAGCATTCGAGGAATTGTTAGGTCGTCTTATCGGCCTCCAAACTCTGACGCAGAAAGACGAGTTTCATTTGATAAAAGTGAGGTTGAAGAAGTTGAGAACAAGGACCTCTAGATATATATGATCAGATACCAACAAGATTCAGAGTCGAACATGTCTTCATGTTACCGAGAAACTATGCATACCTCAAAATATGCAGTAAATACTTCCTCTTCAATTGTTGTGCAAAACATTGACAATAGTATGTCATCGGCCATTATTTAATGCCCGCGTTTTATGTGTGAATGCAGCTGTCCGTTTTAACACGCAACCAGCACTAGATTTGGGACCAACGCAGGAACTAGGCTGTCTGTATTGAACGCTGGTTCAAACCCCCATTATGCCTGTTTTAAAGTGGAGCAGCCTCCTGCGAAGTGCTCTGGCTGAATCACACACAGTCGATCTCTTATGGTAGGTGAAGCGAGGACAGTAGGTTACAGAATAGTTCCGACTGCCTTTTTGTCTCGGTTCCAGCCGGACTCACGTGATCAGGTGCTTCCAGACCCGCTTGGGACTTTCCCCGCGCCCCTACATTCCTGTGAATCAATATTGATTGTATAGCGATGTACCTCTGGCATAACGAGTAGGATGGATACGACTGGAGACAGGGATGTCATACATGGGATGCAGTTCTCCTCTCAAGTGTGGTGTGTATGTGTCTCACCAACTGTACCGGATATGTTACTGACACGCATTTTTCCAGCGATCGTTGTCGCATGTAAGTAAATACTCACAAACTTCTAGATTGGTCGGAAAAAAGCAAAAGAAGAAAGATAATGCTAACTGGGTTTAATTTAGAAAGAAAGTCCGTTGCGATGGATTACTCCCATCGGTATTTACCTCTCATCTACCTCACAAGCAAACGGGTTGAACTAATAGGTTGAGACCGTTGTAGTGTAGCAACTGTAGAACGTCTGGAGCTGCCTGTGTCACATCTAAGCAACTCAAAAGGCGAACGCGGCCCAGAAGGTCAGTGTCCTATTGCTAAGTCTTTTCCGTTTTGCTACAGATAATGTTAACGAATTTGCTAGACACCTTGAGCAACAAGAAAGGTTGTTGGACGAGCTCAGGGTCAAAAATGAGAATTTGCAGCGCGAAATCCAGCAACTACGTGCTAGCCATTCCAGAAATATTGACACATCTGTGTGGAACGACACTTCAAGTGGACTTCAAGCCCCCAATTATCCAGTACTGCAAGTTGCAGGTTCGTCTGATGCGACAACTACTCCAAATCAACAAAGTCAACCTATCATCAAGCATCTGGGACGCTTAGTGCCCTTAACACCGAGTGTCAATCGATTCGCAGGATCAACAACAGGAATTTATTTCATACGCTGTGCCGAAGCAGTATATAAAACTCTTTTCGACCAAGAAGAAGGTTTTCCAGATGTCGTTAATCGCCTCCATTTACTCGGGGCTTGCCCAGAATATTCCCAACGTCTGCTTTTTTTAAACTCGATTGATCTTTCTCGACCACCACATTTCATGCTCGATAAGACACGAGCATTATACCTGGGTGCTATAACAGAGTTTTTCCAATCTTGGTCGTCTATCTGGCCAGTGCTCATGAAGAAGCAGTTTCTTTCCGCCTTCCACCGGATTTTCGATCGTGTCGAGGCCCACGACCCTAATCTCTCACCGTCTGACTATGTTAGTCTGAGGCAAATATTTCTTGTCCTCTCTATTACCGCATGGAAAAGTCGATCGCCCACAGAGTGCAACACATACTACCTTAATGCCCTGGAATGTGCCCGGTTAACGACTGCACCTGAGAATGAGGACTTTCCAGGACTTCAGTCCCTACTTTTAACTTGTCTATATCTCCAACTTACACGGAAGCACGATGAGTGGATACAAATATCTGGCCAGGTTGTTCGACTTGCACAGTCCCTAGGTCTCCATCGACATTCTCGACGCTTCCAATTTTGTGCTGGGGAGATGGAGTTAAGAAAACGCATATGGTGGTGCGTTTACGCTGTAGACGTGTAAGGCTCCCAACCAACAAAGACTGCCTGTTAGTCACTAATCTCCATAAACAGTGCCTGTAGCATAGTACACGGTCTGCCGAAAATGATCCAGGATGATGATGTGGATACCGACCTACCTGTTGACACGGATCTGGACGATGTGGCTGCGACTGACATACCGCTCCCCCTTCCGGGAGAGACAACAAGCACGGCTACATTTAACCTCTACGTGAAATTGCTCAAAATATTCTCCAGCTGCCTCAAGTCGCTATATACGACTACCAAACGACGTAATGGTGTCGCCAAAATTACTGCACTGGACCACGAGCTCTCGGTGTGGCGCCACAGTGTAGTCCAGTTCCAAGGAAATGAGATGAAAGACCATGACGATGGTCTACCGGACACTCTTCATATGAACTCAGCAGATCAGACTTTTGAGATACTATTTCTACACTTCTTAGGAAACGTGGCTGTTGTCTTGATTCACCAACCAGCATTGACATTCGACCCGAAGCACCCTCAATTCTTGAAGAGCCTGTCGAGGTGCGTTCGTGCAGCACTCAATATACTCAGTATGTTGGGAAGCAGTCATGATGACCGAAGACTTCACTGTCTGTTCCCTAACAAGTCATCCATAGTCTTTCAGTCAACACTGCTGTGCTTCTATCATCAATGGATGTGCATGGCGTCTTCATTAACGCCAAGCCACAATCTTAATCCCGTGATGGGCAAAATAGTTGATACTGCCCTCAGGCTTTTCGACACGCACAAGACGGAACTGGTTTCCTCTGACACTGGTTCAAACACGAGTATTGACATTCAGACGATCTCAGCTGCTGAAGACCTTGTTCGCTTATTTTACAGTCGCATGGATCTTGGCAGAGACGTCTCCGTATCTTATGAACGGACTCTTTCTGTGGCCCAGCATTCTCCTTCAACATCATTATTCCCACCTCCAGCAGACCTGAATGTCCATCAGCCATCGAATTTTGGACAATCGTCACCGACGGCAACAACAATTCCTCTTGACTTTGGGATATTGGATCACAATATCCTTGATTTTGACTGGGCTTGAGCGATCAATATCGGGTTAATGGAACTGATTACTCGAAGGAGTTGTGAATCTTGATACCGTTGTATTTTACTGTTTTCTGGCGCCATTGAACAATCGTAACGTTGGGTATGATGACAGGAGAGAGGACAAGATTACCGACTCGTTCGTAAAGCGTATCGGCGAAAGTGGACTACAGGCTAGACGCCGTATTGGAAGTAGGCAATGGTCGGATAGATCGGCATGCTTGGAGAGAGGGTCGGTGCCACACGCGGGTCTATAAGCAGGGAAGCGCAGAGAATCTTCAAAGCCATTTTTGCCGCGTCAGAATACTAGTATTCTGGCTCTGTACCTCCTATCTAAACAATAGGTACCCTCTCATACCTAGGAATTATATTGAGATCCCAGTGCATAGATCTCAACCCTTATCTTAGGTCTTAAAACTTCTACCAAAGCAATTCGCTTCAACACCGGACTCTCTTCCTAAGCAGACCCCAGGAAATCACCCTCCACCTGATTAGATAGATCCTTGTTCCATAGCTTTGAACTTAGAACCTTCCTCACAGGTGAGTCAAAGCATGACATCAATAAGACTAAGGGTTAAGCGCTTCCCTGGACCTACGCACGGGCTGCCTTCTTTTACGCGGGCCCCGAGAATGCGTGAGCAGTACTTCTACCCTCCGTGCGGCGGTCCGGTGCCATATTGTATTCGAGGCCCAGGCGCAGATCTCAAGCCCGAGTGAGGGGATGAGGGTGTCGCAGGATCTATAGAATAAATACTCATACTAAATATTGAAGCGAAGCTCAGGGCACTGGGCTTACGATGTTCTACAAGCTCGTAGTACTAGCTCCCAAGGTAAGACAACAGATAATAATCCCTGTCAGTTCACCGGAGCTCCGGCGGGAGTATGAGATAAGTAGGATTTTGAGAATAAATACGATTACCAACTCAGCCTTGTATACCACAGTATTTTACTAAGTGCTCTCTGAGTATCCGTCTTTAACAAGGAATCATTAGGACCTATATTTGAACTGCAAGTCTTTCAGTACGGCTTGCTTTCAGTGTGAAGCATCTTTGTTATCCAGGTTCCGAGGGTCCAAACCGATATCTTTGCATTAGCTGATTGGTACGTTACTTCCAAGTCATGTCCAATTTGTACCCCGCTGGGCTTCCCGACTGAACCATACCCTTGCTATCTATAAGAGTTACCAGAAGATAGCATTAAGTGTCTTCGCCCTATAGGGTAGATCGAACTGTGTCCCTGTCAGAAATCGCCAGTATAAGCATAACCCAACGTAGGCAGCAACATTAAATCGATAAGCCCCTCATCTTTCCATTAGCTAGTCCCGCACAGGTAGCATCAGTGGGAAAGCAGTGGCCAATCGTTCGTGATGTGGCGTTGATAGCCGGCAGACTAACGCCAGTGCTTGACGCGTGATCAAGCAGGGTCCTAGAACCCTTATACCATGAATTGGGGCTTCCAAGCCATTGTGAAAATTACCAGTAGAGGCATATAAAAATATTGAGTAGATATACTCCACTTCCCCCTTATCCACATCACTACCCTGATCCCAAACCCCACAATGCTCCTCCCCCTCCTCCTAACCACCATGCTCCTTAACCCCTTCCGCCCAGCTGGGGGCACTCCCACCTTCCAAGAAGAATACCGGAATAGCAGCTACGTTCCAGATGTGATTGAAACCACACTAGGCCGCCAGATTGTGGCGCCGGATACTCCCTACGTGGCAGTAGCCGGCCGCAACCAGCTCTATTTCCTCGACACCCGGCTCGACCCCGAGACGGCCGAACACATCAAACAACAAATTGAAAAGGCCAGCGTGTCGCAGCCTGATGAGTATATCTCTATTGATGAGATTGAGGCCACCGCAGAAGTGAAGAACAGGGCGACTGGCGAAACGACCTTCGTGTTTGATCCCACCTACGCCCGGATATTGTTCGCTAGGGGCATAAATAGGCATAATCCGGACCTTAAGTTGCCGGAGTACGAGGATCCTGGGGATTGGTTGGTGACTTATGATTTGGATGATATTATGGCGAGGAGGGGAGCGGGTAAGGGGTGATGGATTGATATTGGTATAGGTATAGCTAAGGTCGGCTGTGAGGTTTGTTGGGAGACCAGTGGGAGATGAGAAGATGGAGACCAATTGTTGTCGGCTCATGGATGGATTATTCCGGGTGGGGTGTAAGAAGACCTGGGGATCGGGTGTCATTTCCGAGTCAGATTGCTGATGTCCAGGCTGCAGGTGGATAGCTCAGTCTTCAACTGATGTTATCATGTTATCGATAGATATAGTCCTTGAAGTGACCTGTTTTAGGCAACTAAGTGGGGCTTTTCTTGGGTCTCTCTTTCCCTTCTATCAAACTCAAATGTCAATTTATTGCTAATATTTATAGTCTTTTGGTTACAAGGCCGGAAGCTATATGTTCATATTTGACCTTACCAGGTTTCGAGATCACGCTCTTCACTTGAATACCTGGAATAAACACAGAATCAGTTCTTTCAGCACTTTGATGTTGTCTTCGCTGCAAGTTGTTTTCTCCAGCATGTGTTGCTCATGTCACCGATACGACCCCAGACTGCAACCATCGTGTCATTGTCTTACATCCGAAATACCTGCTGATGCTATTGAAAGCCATGCGCATATTTTGCATGACTCCGAAGTACAGCACCAGTTTATAAGCACCTATACTGCCCGGAATAATGAGGATCATTTAGTAGGTAACATTAGCCAGTCACCGAAGTTCAATAGAAAGAACTACAGATTTGCTGAGATAACACCATCTTCTCGAAGAGGATATTAGAGCCACGAAGTATGATTGGCTGAAGCTGCTGTATTGGAACAGTTTCCGAGGAATCATGGTTCCTTGTCTGGTCTCTACAGCATTAAAATTGGTACTCCAGATTCAAAAGCTTCATGAGGCATTGGGCGCGGGGTTCCCATTCAGCATAAGTATACAAAGAAAGTCTATTCACGGGGTTTGATGATTTAAAGTGTCCATTCCCGTCTAATACGAGATATCCCCGGAATAAGCTGTGTCTTGGTTGACTCGGGAGCTTAATCGGTCCCGGTCTTTTGAGTGACCCCGCCATCCGCCAGCAGACGCACTTTTGCATCTAGTAATGGGGTGGGTGTATCATGCTGCTAGATAAATGTGTTGCAAGGGAGTAAGTTCTGGTTCACGATTTAGTCATAGTGAAAATATAATTACCCAGGTGGCTTCTGACACCTCCACAGCTCTGTGCCTCGCTGCAATGACAAGATCTTGATGACGCTGGAATACGAAGAGGGCGTTGTAGGTATAAAGTATCGCGATGTCTTCGAGTCTTGGCCTCGTACTGGTACTGCATGCGGCTTGCAAATGCGCGATTAGAAGGCATGGGGCGACTTGGAAAAGCTCAACCTACATGATAGTATCGGGGTTTTCGTGTTCGGGGTTACTTTTCGGGCTACTGTCAGCTGTGCTTGACTGTTGAGTTTCTCCACGAACTTAACGTTCTAAGGGTTTAGGTTGATGTTCCGTCTGTGACCTGCAAATATAACACATTTATGTTGAAGGACTAGTAGCTTACCACTCTTCAAAGTTTAGAGCATCGGGGTATGTGATGATGGCCAAGAGTTCTATTCTAGTCTAGACTACGCCGCCTTCATTTGAGGAGCAGTATCACGAAGCATTCCATCGTCCCTCCAAAGCTAGTAGGCAGGAGCTAAGCCATAAATTCAGTCCAGCTCCCCCACGAGATGTGCTCATTTGAATAAAGTACATTGCTTCCTTTTCAAACTGGATCCCACAGGAATATTTTGGTGCGGAACTTCAACAACTCCTCGATCGACCAACATGCCTGACATTCGCGGCACCACCCTCACCCCTTCAACTTCCAAAATCGACTACCTCGAAGCCTTACGGGAGGCTGTTGGCTCAAGAGGCCTGAAGACTCTCGCCCCTGACAGTGTCGACAGTCCCGAGCTCCAGAACTTGCGGCGGTCCCTCGCCAATTCCACTGCGACCGCACCCGGACGGTATACCTGTTCGTCCGAGAAGCCTCTTCCCGTTACCATCAGAGGCATCAACAATCGCGCAACTCTCCAAGGTGGATTCAGAGGAGTGATTCCGCGCTGGAAACCCGACAATCCACCACAACCCATTAATTTTGCTGCATTCGCAAACGGGTACCCACGCCCCGGTCTCGCTCTACTCGCTGCGAATGCGCTCAGGGATGCCGCAAATGACTGGAACGAACTTGACCTAGGGGTGAAGTTCGAGTGGGTGGAGGATATTGATAAAGCGTCGTTCGTCCTCTCCTATGCGGGAGACCAGGGGGGTGTGCTCGCGCAGGCATTCTTCCCGAACGAGGACGATCTCAGTTATCTGAATGTGTACTCGGCTGCATTCCAGCCGGGTACAATCCAGTACTTGAAAAATATCTTCTTGCATGAGCTCGGGCATGTGTTGGGTCTTAGACACGAATTTGCACCGGAACTTGAGGATACTAAGGATGATTATAGCGTTCAATTCGGTCCTCGGAATCCTTTGTCGGTGATGGGCTATGAATTTCCACCGCAGCTGCAGACTACTGATAGGGATAGTGCTCAGGCCTTTTATAGATTCCCGGGAAGTGGGCTTGGTTGGAAGGAAGCACATGTTCCGCCGTCGAAGAGAAAATTGTTGCCAATTAAGGATTGTACAGCCAGATGAGTAGGTCTGTGAAGGGGCGAAAAGTTGTTAGTTTTGTATCTAATTTCGGTATTCATGGATAGTTTGAAATGCAATGTCTAATGTTGCACTTGATTGGTACACTGCTTGGTTCCACTTCGTTAAAGTCCTGTGTATGAAGTCCCGTAGATGTTGACAGTTGAGGACTCTGTGTCTGAGCTAATGAAGCCATGACTTCGTGCAAGTACCTTTCCATGGTACCTATGTGAGATCAGAATATTATCATTGCAATGATTACTGCCTGCTCATCTGTATCGAATAGATAATTTATCGGGCTTGTCATCAATGGGAGAGAGGTTATTTACTAGGAACTTGCCAGTTAACGCACGTAGAATCACCTTTCATGTGACAACGAGACACAGAGAGGCCTGAACTTCCTTCAACTAGTCCGGTTCGCTATCTCCATCCCATTCTGTGTATTTGCATTGACGTGGCGTGTCGCAATAAGACTCCGGAGGACAGGAATGCATCTACCCTTGATTATTAGTTTTTCTTAGCTAGTAGACTATAACAATATAAGGACAGCATTCTATGAATGTTTGGCCTTGTGGGTTTGTCGATGAATCTGTTTGTGGAAAATAACATGCAACCCATGCAGGGTTGCTAATGTTCTTGCTGGCGTAGAGAACATATCTTTCTGGCGATCGATAAGGGGCACGATCACGCGAGCAATATGTCTAGAAGTCTGGTTACACTGTTATAGGTCGGTTTAGAAGCGTTCGTCAAGCCACGATGTCGCCATTCCGCGAGTCTAAATGGAGATAAGCCAATGAGTAGGATGACAGGCTAGGGCCATTGCCTTTAGCTCTTGAATGATTGGTTTGCGCTCTATGTTGACAGTTGACTAGGTGCTTTGCTAAGTGCAGATGAGATATCCCTAGCTGCCGACCGATGTAATTGTGGACTCGAGATCCTCCTCATGACTCAGCGATATTTTGAATCGACGATTGACAGACAGAAGTGTGTTTCACAAAGACATCTGGAGATCCTGGTGCACGGAATCTTGCAAAGTTGTGCAAAAGTGGAGAAGATAAGCTGGTGGAGAAGGCGGCCGACCAGCACGGTCAAGGCAGGTGTCACCCCCAGTCCTTCCCATCCATCAACATCCCATTGAGTTTACTGTCAGACATCTCTTTCACCGCATGAAAGCAGACGATAAGGAAGAAGACCCACTATTCTGCATTCTCGTGCCCAAAACCCGGTTTTTGCTATCCCCGCATGGGTAAGGGATGTGGCGAAGGGGGTTGCAACATCCAGAAGTTTCGACTGGCGCCCGGGCTACCACTTACTTAACCTCATCCACAACCACCCACGGAATCTCCCTCCCGTGTTTGCCGCGACAACACTAATTCACAGACGTATCAATGTCTTTGGTGCAGCACGTTTCTGTCATCGAAGGTGTAGATCGAGAACCTGAACATCAGGATGATAGCACCATTGCGACCGCGGTGACGGGTGAGCCTTTCGCTCCGATCCATCGCAAGATCAGCTACGATGTCCTCCAGCCTCCACCTGCTCCGGTCGAGGTAGCTGGAACTCCTGCCTATAAGGTTTCGACCGCAAAGCGACTGGGTAAGTCAATTGAGATAATGTAAATAAATAGTATCGTTCTGACTCGTTCTAGCCCAGGTTATCGTTACCATACTTGCGTGTTGGTTCGCGGCAGGCGTGGTCTTCGGATTCGCTGCCTTGAAGCCGGTTCTGGTCGCAGAAGGTGTCTATCGAGATCTGTGTACCGAGGACGAATTACGCGACGGGGTGGAAGTCTGCTCCGAACAGGATCTAAGGTGGGTCCTCAAATCTGGTCTAGCTGAGCTAGTATTGACTTTTGCAGGTTGAACCTATTCTTTACCATCGGCTCCATCACAGCCAATGTGTCTGCCCTTCCGGTCGGCACTATCCTCGATCGCTATGGATCACGTATCTGTGGCTTTGCCGGCTGCCTGCTACTTGCGCTTGGTAGCTCGCTGATGGCATACTCCTTCTCCCAGCCACAGTTCGATGGCTACATGGCGGGGAATTTCTTCCTCGCACTGGGAGGTACATTCATCTTTGTGCCTTCTTTTCAGATCGCAAACGCCTTTCCCAAGTATGCAGGTACGATTGTCGCTCTTGTTACTGGCGCCTTCGATGCGTCTGCAGCGGTGTACCTTTTCTATCGTCTGATCTACGAGATGACCGATGGATCATTTGATCCTGGGAAGTTCTTCCTGAGCTATACCATAGTGCCTGGTTTCATTCTGGTCGCGTTGATTACACTCATGCCGTCACAAGACTACCAGGGTACGCATCAACTCGAAGTAAAAATCGAAAAAGCAGAAGACGCTACGCGCGATATACATGACTCGGACGACGATATCGAGAGCGACACGGAGCTACGACGTGTCCGGAGTGAGCGCGCTGAGCGACGCCGAAATAAGATGCGCAAGATTGCCAAAGTGCTGGGCGACAAGGGGGAGCGGAAAGAACGGGAGCAACGAGAAGAGGATCGCCAGGCTGCAAGCGCCGTCTGGGGGGCGCTCCACGGCCAGCCTGCCCATAAGCAGATGGCCACACCGTGGTTCATCCTGATTACCTTGATGACAGTCTTGCAGATGCTGCGGATGAACTACTTCATTGCCACCATCCGCGCTCAGTACGCATATATGCTCGACTCAGATGAACTCGCTGTTCAGATCAACAGCTTCTTCGATGTTGCCTTGCCGGTTGGCGGGATTATTTCCACGCCCTTCGTGGGGCTCCTCCTTGACCATATCAGTGTGCCCGCTGTACTTGCTATCATTGTGGTTCTGACGACGGTGATCGGTATCCTGAACTCCGTACCTGTTCTGTGGACAGGATACGTGACCGTTACATTGTTTGTTTTGCTGCGACCACTCTACTATTCGGCCATGTCGTAAGTACACCCATCCACTATTCTCTATGGAGCTACTACTTACTGTTCTAAATAGTGACTACGCGACAAAGGTGTTTGGATTTGCCACCTTTGGCAGAGTCTATGGGACCATTATCTGCGTGTCGGGAATGGTCAACTTTGCCCAGTATGGGCTGGATGCATTGACACATGGTCCCTTTGATGGAAACCCCATTCCAATCAACATCTTCTTTGCCATCGCTGGCTTTGTGGTAGGAACCGCGCTGGTATCGTTTGTGTACGTGGCCGGGCGGCGACTACGGGCACGGGAGCAGGAACTGGAGGAGGATGAGGAACGACAGCGGTTGATTCGAGAGGAGAGCGATGAAGAGGACTACGAAGATTGATTGGGGGTTGTCAATATGTTAACTTCGTATATGTTACGAGATGGATACAGTGGGAGTCTGGTGCATGGTGTACATGGCGCATGCTTGTCCTTTGATGAAGCTTTCCGTGGCTTTGCAGGGTAAAAATGTGTTCATAACGGGTACGATATTAATAGTCTATTTTAATGAGAAACACAATGACAGCTCCACAGACAGATTAGAGGATCATACGATGGGGAAGCATGGTTTGATTAAGGTTTGAATCCGTTAGTATACTTCTCGATGGCATGTAGGATGACGTCTATGCTTCAAAGGGAAAAGAGTAACTATAGCATCGGGTATCTTCCAATACTACCCTTCCTCTTCCTGTTTACTTTCCTCTTACTTCAATTCTGTCTGTTATCTTCCGAAAACTAAGTATGTGTAGTGTTTTGTCAAAGATGATAAGTATATACAGCATCTCTCCACTCTTGGCAAGCGGCAGAGACATCCGCCTGACCCGATGAATCCACGTCAGATGTCCCCATCATCCTATTGATCGGATGGGATACAAAGTAACATGTGGTCACAATACCAATAAAAACCCAATCCAAATTATAAGAATAACCACAGATAATAAGTAAGTGTCAAAATACCTGCTCTCGTTCCTGCCCTGCCGGCGTCGTCATCGTGACGTAGCCATCCGGCGGCCCGCGCTCCACACCAACCATACCATACACATTCTACCTACTACTTACTTACATTTGCGCTTGCTTCATCCTCAATTCTTTTCATGTGTACATTTTTAAATAATTCCTAATACATAGTTCGCTAAAGCAATACGCACCCCTTTTCAGGAAGATTATGGCCTCCATATCCATCAACGCCCCCGGCGCAACCGGCTTCATCTACAACAACGCCAACCTCGGCACCGCCCGCGTCTGCATCTCCGCCGAAACCCCCGACTTTGATACCGAGACGCTGCGCGCCTGGGCCGACGAGGGGTTTGATGTTGTCTATGCGCCGTACAATAATGGGGGGAAGGAATATGAGGCGCGGTTGAAGTCCGTTAAGGATGGGTTGGGCGTGGGGGATAATTATGCTGTTATTGGTGAGTATCCTACTTTGTACTACTCTCATATATGTTATTCAAGTGGGATAGGAGTAGAGTTAACTGTTGGGGGTTGTGGTGCATAGCATTCGGCGACGCCGCCTCCTACTGTCTCGACTACTACCTCAAATCAACAAACTGCAGCCGTCTCGCGGCCCTCATCGCATACTATCCCACTACGATCCCCGATACGCGATCGCGATTCCCGTTCTCGGTGCGCGTGTTGACGCATCTTGCTGGGAATACGGTGGATGTGGTGACCATCCCGACGGTCATTGGGCTGCAGGGGAAGAAACATCGCTCGACGAAGCAGATCAACCCTGGTATTGGGACGGGAGAGAGATTGCAGATCGGCTGGCCGGCGTTCACGTATGAGTCGGCGCAGCCGGGGTTCGCGGAGCATGATCTGGAGGAGTTTGATCGGTTGGCGTCGGATTTGGCGTTTAGTCGGACGTTGCAGGTGCTGAGGAAGGCGTTTGGGAAGGATTTGGATTTGGAGAATAGGTGGGAGGAGCAGCTTGAGGGTGAGTTCATACCTTCCTACTTGGTGGCTTTTGGGATTTGAGGGCTAATTGGTACAGCGCGCTTCTTCTCCATGAATCTTACTGGTACTATGGAGCCGTACGTCGGTCATCTTAACCCGACACTTACTTGCACGCCTACCATGAGCGGTGGCAT